AAAAAGAATGATGAAGACATTAGGTTTATAATACCCAGAAATTCATACACAGATGTCCCAAGAACACACGGCAAAGGCGTTAGTTAGATCCAGTGACAGGACCTAAGTGCTGGAGAACTTTGAGAGGAGAATTAACGGGAGATAACTGATAGCTGACATCCATTAGACATGGCACGTGGAACTAGATCAGTTTACCCCAGTGAGCAAAATAAAGGGTTCAGTTCGACATTCCAACCACCTGAAGAAGGCCGGAGCGTAAAACGTCGAAATAATGTCAATAGTTAAAACATAACCAATCATATCAATGATAGCAGTCGTCGTTCACAAACTGGTTTATATTGATTTTCCAAGCGTAGCTTAGATGTGGCACAAGGCCGAAAGTAGGGGGTACTCAGTGATGATAGAACTCACTACTCAATCGTAATTGTTCTAGCGAGATAAGCTTGCTAACCATTAAACCATCTCGAGGAGACATAAACTGGTTTATTAATTGTCATTTGTTGCATGAAAGAGAACAATGGACTAACACCGCCTTGTCGCGTTCAGCATGGACAGCAAATTTCCAAAGTGGCCATCCCGTTATCTATTCACATACGAGTTTAATTTAACAAGTGGTGCATGTGCGCCGCTCCGTAGCATGCTAGCTACTTACACTGGATAATTTTATTGAATCGTATTGTAGGATACACCGTTGCCTAATGTCGGAGGAGATGTTTTTCTTGTCCTTCTTCTATATACTTAGAAAGTGCTTTATTAACATATCTTCTTCTTTTTTTATCTCAAAATACATTTTATATTTTAATAACGTTCTTTCCGTTGATTAAATTTTTTCCCTCTGTATTACTACTGCTTTTACCGTATATTTATACATTCTTGGTTAAGTTTTTTTCCATGAACTACCATTGTTATTATAATTATTGCTATCACTGATCCTTACGGCTATATCACGTTGAAACACCGATTCTCCTACGATTACAGAAATTAAGAAACGTCAAGCCTGGTCAATACCTAGATGGGTGACCACTTGAGAAACTAGGTGCTGTAATCTAGGAGATGCGAGTGATGTTATAGATAAGGGCTACAAATTCACAGAATTTTTAATCAGACAGCAGAGTTCCAATTCCAGTCGGGTTCGTTATATTCACTTACGCGCAAATACTCTCGGGAAAGGTATAAATCTACCTCTTCTTCCCCTCAGATGTGGGTTAATTAGTAGGACTAATATCAGTAAATTATTATTATCTCCAGAAAGTTCTGACCATCTAAAAGTATAGGATGTTTCAATAACTTGGGCCGATTTTAAATGTGAATTAAGTTTAAGCGTCTAATGATTTTTAAAAAAAATTTTCTCTCATTTTCTCTCAGGTTTAACAACTTCTTTCAACCAAGGAACGATTAACAATCAAACAACGTGTTAAAGTTATCGAAGCCTGTTACGAAAATGGTCGTTCAAACAGAAATGCATTTCGCGGGCTTCGTGATTTCTTTGGTCAAGATAATCGACCAACCGAGAGTGCAATTTGAAACGATGTAACGTTGTTGTGGAGAGGTTCAATTCCTGCGCGCGATGACGAATAGAGGTATCTAGATTTTTGGTCACATTTTCGTGAACTGCAGCGATGTTTTCAGCTGAACGGCGTAAACGAGCACGCAATACTGTTTTCACACCTGCCACCGACCCAGTTTGTTTGAATTTACGAACAATTTTTCTAATTGCACTCTTGAAATTTTAACACGTTGTTTGTTTGTTGATCTTTCATGGTTGAAATTGCCAAAGACATAAGTTGTTAAATCTGAAAGAAAAAGAAAAAAAATTCATTAGACGCTTAAACTTAATTCACATATAAAATCGGTCCATGTTATTGGAACACCCTATATTTTCTGGCTTTAAAGAACCTGCAAAATTTTGATTAGACATAAAAAAACGAACCAGTCAATTAATCAATGCTATCATTGATATTATTGTTTATATCTTGCTTTGATTTTTATGATGGTTTATTATTTTACTCATGTTTTCCTTGTAATAGTAAATTATTTTAATAATATTTCTATTAATAAATATGGATAATTTACAATATTTTTGCTATTAAGTTAAAGATATTTTAGTTTATTTTCGTTTTTATTTCACAGTTATAATATGGGTTAGATATTACGCCCTCTATTGTTTTTGTTTATATTGTTTTCCATTTCGTAATCTAATTTATTTCTATATCCACATATTTATTAAGGCTAATACGTATTTTTTTATCTTCATTAAATAATACGTTTTTACTTTAATTTGTTCAAAGTTTCTTGCTTACAGATATGCGGGTTTGTTTGTAAATAGTGTGGGTACTGAAATATTTATCAATGTAGACAAGGATACTATGTGTTTTAGTATGATTATACATACACAGGAATGAATTTAGGTGGGAATTTAAATTTCTGAACATTTTTTTAAAATAATGTGTGTTGGGTTTTCGTTTTTACAATGATTGCTGGAAAGAATATATTGTTGAAAACTCAAGAAGTTTAAATAAATGATTATAGGAACACAAAAGAGACATTTTAAAAACCAACACTCAAAACGCATTAGTTTCTCATCGTAATGAGACTGACCTCAATTTTAAAATCACAAGGTGGTTTTCGAATGTGGATAATTCTTAAAAGTCTTATTTTATTGTCAAAACCAGCCTATGATTAATTGGAGATTATTAATGTGTCTTAATTGTGTTTGTATATCGCCAACGAATTCCTTTTGAAAAAGCGTTGCTGAAAATTACCATAAAGTTATAAAAATGACGTTTATTTTCTTCAAATCTTTGTTTTATTTCTATGGGTACAAGTAATTGATATATATATATATATATATATATATATATATATATATGAGACAAAGCAAAGTATTGACAAAATTGCGTTTGCGATCTTAACAACAAAATGTGTACCTGACAAAAGCACTTAAAGTGAAAAACAATAAAGAGAAAAGCCAAGAATTAATAAACTTAGGGACCAAGAGAAAATTCGAAAAAAAGCAAAGTAGACATAGACAGAGAATAAGAGACAGACGCTAGGGTAGACATATATCTATATATGTAATTATAGATAGTAGTCGATGTATAAATGGCCAAATCAACTAAGACAGATCAAACCAGTAACACAGCACAAAAAATAAAATAAACTCAGTTCAAATCGCAACTAAGAGTTTACAGCAACTGCGATTGTTAGCAGTCTCTCTCTCTATCTCTCTCTCTCTCTCTCTATATATATATATATATATATATATATATATATATATATATATATGTTTATATAAATTTATACATACATGCATATATATATATATGCCTATGGGGGTAATATTTTTTATAATATAGCTGAAGAATTCCTTAGTTGCATACGAAAATCTCACATTACTAAATAATTTATTGCGAATATATCTAATAAAAACCTGATATTATAAACTGAAATTGGAGCATTTCATATACATATGATTTTCTGAATTTTTGTTAACATTATTGCTTGGTCAATACTAAGATTATTCTTAAAAAAAAGTGACTTGCATCATACGATCTGGCATAGTATAAGTTAACAAGGGAACAGACAATATCAGGACCGAAAGTAAAGCCAATTCCCTGATGAGAATTTATGGTTTCTTTCCATCTCGATCGGGCCTTCCGAAACAAAAGTTGTGCTCATAGTTTATTTTTTTTTATGTTTATTGATGTATTCAAATTTTCTCCTCTTTACGATAAGGGTTAAAATATACTTGCTGGCTTTTCTTAGTGCTTTCTCAATATTTACTAGGTTCTCTGCCATATAAATAATATTACCGGCATATCTTCGAATTGATGGATCAACCGGGTCGGTAGGCTGAATATTTTAGTTAATCTATTGAGAGTAAATACAGGATAAGACAGAAAACTTAAATTCATCCTGAAAATGAGATTAGTAAAATAAAACAACGGTTTTATTGATGGAATCAATCCTAGATATTAATAAGAGAAAAAAAAATGGGCGAAAATGCAACAGAAAATGCAGTTAAAATTGCATCACATTAAAGATGAAGGGACATTGAATATGTAAATTTGGACCTGTGATTCTCCTAAAGGATTTTTGTGGCTTTTTGATTTTACGTTTTTTGTATTGTCTTTGATTAGACAACGTTGTATCAGCATTAATTCTGTGATCAAAGAAGAGGTTGTTTTATAGTAGGCCTTACTTTCACGTTTAATCAAAACTCCCTCTCATTTCTCTCTCTTTCTGTTTGTCTGCCTGTTTCTTTCTCTCTCTCTCTCTCTCTCTCTCTATATATATATATATATATATATATATATATATATATATATATATATATATATATATGATGGCTGCAGCAGGTGAGTTAATCTAATTGGCCAAGCACGATTGTTTATACTATTACACTATATCTTGCAAAATACCATGTGAACTGTCAGTATCTATCTATCTATCTATCTATCTATCTATCTATCTATCTATCTATCTATCTATCTGTGTGTGTGTGTCTATGTCTCTCTCTCTCTCTCTGTATATATATATATATATATATATATATATATATATATATGATGGCTGCAGCAGGTGAGTTAATCTAATTGGCCAAGCACTATCACACTATATCTTGCACAATACCATGTGAACTGTCAGAATCTATCTATCTATCTATCTATCTATCTATCTATCTGTCTGTGTGTGTGTCTAAGTGTGTGTGTGTCTCTCTCCTGTATATATATATATATATATATATATATATATATATATATATATATATATATATATATATGATGGCTGCAGCAGGTGAGTTAATCTAATTGGCCAAGCACGATTGTTTATACTATCACACTATATCTTGCACAATACCATGTGAACTGTCAGAATCTATCTATCTATCTATCTATCTATCTATCTATCTATCTATCTGTGTGTGTGTGTAAGTGTCTCTCTCTCTCTCTCTCTCTCTCTCTCTCTCTCTCTCTGTCTGTGTGCGTAAATGTGGATAGGTTGGTTATTACAACTTACATCTAAACGTTAAAGATTGAGAGACTGTCAGCTCATAAATTTACAATTTGATGCCAGTTCTATTTAACCTTCAGCTTTTATCAATTTCAGAGGTGTTGTTTTTAATTATCCCAAATTGCATCAGTAGTAATCGTAATGGGCTTAATGTATTGTCTAGATTTGGCATATATGAGCTGGCATAAATTGTATAAAAAGGCAAAAAGAAAGCTGGGAAAAAACTTCTACAAGAGACAAACATACGATGAAGAAATTCATCACGAACCCATCTGCATTCAGTGCACGTATCGATGAAAGACGGACTCGTTGATGCCTGTCTCTTGTTTGACGAATGAAAACTCTCTTGAAAAATAGACATATGTAAGCATCCACTTGAGAGTAGACAAAGTTTATTGCAACTCCCAATCTGCCGGAAACCTGACGGGGATACATCGTGAAGCTCTTAATACTTTGCAGCAAAAGCGTTGTTCGTCGTCCTCTGAAGACGAATCAGTTCACTAAACATATTTTCTAGCCCCGAAAGTATTTAGAATTAGATTTTCAGAGTATGTTTTCATCGCCGTAATGTAGCTTCCCTGTGACATTTCTATAAACACTTTCATGTTAATTGTTCTGATCTGTTTTGCTCCATGGAACCTAGGTTTTATGTATTTATGTGTAGCACTAGATTCGCAAAAAAAAAAAAAAGATCTAATTACTGTCGAATTGGTTAGATTCTCCCACGAGTTCTTTTCTTGCATTTCTTGTTTCTTGTGGAACCTTCTTCCGACTTTTTGCTTTGCAGCCAACTTTGATCTATAAAAATATCTTCTTGATTTCTCTTTTTTTTCTCGGTCCTTAATAATGTTTTTTTTTTTCATTATTCTTTCAGGCTCAGTAAACCCTTGTGGCATATTGGCTTTATTACCCTGCTTGGGGTGAAATGATTAAAACAAAATATATATTAAGAGTGATATCACTAATTTGCTAATATAGTGGTTGTGAGTTCAATCCTTGGGTCGGACAGTTTATACTTGGAGGGGGTGGAAACGGGTGAACAATAACTGAGCAGTACTAAAAATAAGAACTAGACAATATTCCTAAAAATGAATAGTGGAACGAGAACAGTCTACCTAGTAGATTAAATGAAGTGTTCAGTTCAGAATTCCCTGTAGGTTAACTAAATCGATATAGGAAGACAGAATATAAATAATGTAAATCATAGCAATGTCTCTTATTGATATACGAAACATGATATAATTCAACGTATATCAAAGCGAACAGAATTTCGAGCAATAAACTGTTCTATAGTGTTTTACAGTAAATATTATATTATCGGAAGTTCACAATACTCATCGAATGTCGACTCGGGGTTTCGTGATTTCTCTTTTCTCAGGGGTTAGATAAGAATATTTGCATTAATTAAAAAATGCTTATTTTATTATTATTTATTATTATGAAAAGAATTAAATATATATTATATATATATATATAATATCATTATTATCCTCCGCCTATATATATATATATATATATATATATATATATATATATATATATATATATAGGATTAATGTGATATAATACCCCTACATGTATATTTTAGAATAAAAATTACAAGAGGAAGAATAAAACTCAATATTTATATATATATATATATATATAGGCAGAATCTGATTGATATTACCTATATATATATCCCGACTCCAGAATTTCGTAGATGGACCTGTTCGTCTATATATATATATTCAGAAGGTATCTTGATATTACCTTCATTTAGATGGACTGTTCTTATATGTTTTAATTTTTTTTCCTTTTTATAGACATTTAGTACTGGCGCAATTTTTTTCTATATTCTCTGTTATGTGAGTGTGCTTGTCCGCGCGCTCGCGTGTGCCAGTCTGCACGGATGTGCGTCGTGATCATTTTGCTCTTTCTTCGTTTTTTTTTTTTATCTTTAGGAGACTTAGTCTAGTTTCGATCCGGCTTTAGGCATGTGACCAATTTTTAGTTATTTTAGGTGTGTCTACTCAAACACGTGTATCCACCAAATATAAGAGATGTGCATTTCATAAATAGGGTAAATACACTTTGCTTGATTGTAAAAGTCCTCCGCGATCTACAACCACGTCGGATTTAACAATGGTTGTCATTACAAGAGAGATGCAGGATCGAACCCTGCTGGAAGGAATAAATTCTTTACTAAGACTCTAGAATGCACAGGTCTGAAAACGTATCTTTACGCATACAAAACATGGAAGTATACGCAAATAAGCGTAAATATAGCTTTCTACATATATATATATATATATATATATATATATATATATATATATATATATATATATATATATGTAACTATACTCGTTTCTAAAACCTTCGAATTTTTATTCGATAATAATCAAATCAATCTCGAAGGAAAAAGTTTTTTTTAAAAAAGAAAGAGCTAGAAACATGAAAGTCTGTCGAAAAAAATCGCACAGATACAGGTTTAAAGCCCAAAGAAAAAAATCCCGACACGAGTAAACAACTAACTAACAAAAGAGCTCAATATAACCGTAGAGCAGCGCCAGCCTTCCCTGACGATCCGCTTAGGTGAAACCTGGGTAGGTTTGTCTGGCTCACTAGGTTTATATATATATATATATATATATATATATATATATAAATATATAGAGAGAGAGAGGGTGAGAGAGAAAAGGTGGGGACAAATTTTCGTCTGTTTTAATTTGCTTTGTACGCACATCAAATTTTAATATAAGCAGCATCTCTTTTGGGAAATATAGAAACCTTAAATTTTTCACTTTGTATTTAATTTCCTTACCAATCTGTAGAGTGTACCAAATTAAATTTGACATTTGTTATTTTTGTCTCAAGTAAACACCCGTTACATTACAAATAAATACGTTATTCGTTTATGTCATATGGCTTTCCACAGTTTCGTATCTTTTCCAAACGAGGGCGTTCATCGCTCTCCACAACTTTCTGTCCTTTCGAGTTCTCAGTTTGCCTTTTTATCATCTCTCCCAATCTCTGCTCCGCCATTTATTTCATAAACTCGTTAGATTTCTAAATGTTTCCCTATGACTCTTTTACCTGTGAGTGTTAATTTTTTCAAGCCCTCCTATCTCGTTATGTGTGCTAGAAATTTCAACTGCCCTTTTTTATTGTAAATACAAATGTCCTTTTCATTCGCATTTTCCGTGAAAATTTATCGTTAGGTATATAGTATTCTTAGTATCCTGAGCAGCAAACATTAAAAGTGAATTAATCAGGAATTCGAACTTTGGAATAATATTCCCATACAGGCCTTTTCCCCCCATAACATATACATAAAATCACAAATAGGTTTATTTGAAGAAATGATTACATCCTGGATCACATAGATCCACCAATTTGAAAGCTTAAATAAATGAAACTTGTTGTATTTCTTAATTACTTCAACGCTTAGCGCTTAAAAAAAACATTCTGAAAATGAATGTTTTGTTTGTATTTCTTGTTCAGTGCGACATTACAGTTTTCGTGGAATAATGGGTAGCGGCTCGGATTGAGGAATCGGAGAGTCGAGTTCGAATTCCAGTCGAATCCACTTACATGCTAATACGCTTGAGAAAGGTTTGGATCCTCTAATTCTGGTCTGCCCTACTAATTACCCGGAAAGAAATGGCAACCTACTGGGGGAAAAAAAATCTGCCTCGTCAGTATGTATCGAAATATACATGATCGCCTAAGCGTGTATCACGCATGGCACATAACTGATACTGATGTACATAGCCTCTAACAAATTTGGCTCTCGTGATTACTGGCGGATCTGTAATATGGTACTATTCATTACTAATGCTTCTGTTTCTTAATTCCTTCATATTCTGTAACCTCCTAAGTGGCTGTACTGATTTGCTTGGGGTGACATCGATTAAAAAAGAAAAGTGTATGAATTAGTGTTCCCTATATCTATATGGGAAGAGGTTAGAACGTTGATTTTTATGAAACCCGGGTTCGAATTTTATGATGGTCAATTTGTCAGAAAAATGAATTCCTAATGTCACAATGCCAGCGTGCGGCTCCCTCTAGAGTGGTGCTGCATTTCCCCAACCCTGTAATTGAAATTGGGTTGACGACGGAACTCTTCGAAGGCCGTCAATGGTTTGTGGCCTTCCGTGTCGTCACTGGGCTCCAACGTTACTGCATTGATGGTATCAACGAAATAACTTTTTTTATTACTCGTTTTATTAGAGAAGATCAACAGATGCGGCAGAATGTATTCTAGGAGACAGCGGGAAGAAGAACTTCAAAAGTACGCATGCCGCTCTTTGGCTTAGCGTCCCTTCGCGTGTGCTCTTAGCCTGTCTATAAAAACTGGTGTGGGAAGCGTATCGATGCTTCAAAATTCTTGCGACCCTCTGTTAACTTTACGCCCTTTTATGACCTAAAGTCAAAATTTAGACAAAAGAAATCCATCACTGTAAAATACCACGCCAACGAAATATCCTGACCAATTGTTGACCATCGCGGCCCAGCCAACGCATTCTGTAAGAAGTTGGGCTAGCACTAATTCACAAGTCATCACAAGATTTTAAGGGTACTGGTGATCAATCTCACCTAGACACTGAGAACTCTGGCCCACTTAGCACCGTCGCAGTATGAACCACAGATTGAGACTGTGGGTGTTGAACAACATCAAATGTGTCAAAAAAAAAAAAACAATTGAAAGGTCTCTTTAGGTAAAGGTGAGCGTCCACAGGAAGATACTGTAAGACATAATTTACCTCTTACGGTGTTATATAAACAGCCGAGTGCCCAGCAGCCAAGGGTATTTATTTGTATCTCGTTGGTACAATTCAGAATTATTGTTACCATTGTTGTTGTGTTTATTTCACACAGACGAGTGTGCTAGAATGTCTTATGTTTTTCAATAGTTCTTTCCTTTGCCTCTGATAATCGCATAAACGTTTAAGTAAATACATAGAACTTCATTTTTCTGTATTTGATGCTTCATATACGCGTA